GCACGTGTGCAGCAAATGCATGTGCCCGTCTGCACATCATGCCTGGAGTGTACGCATAAAGAGTTGAATTGTACACTTTGAGATTTCTTGGTGTGAAGTAACACAGTGTTCACTACAGTGATGTAGTGTAGAGCATGAATATCACCATCCAGCAGCAGTACAGGTCATCTAATGCAACCTGATTTCTGATCCTTGAATCTCTTTCGGCAAACCCATTTAAATGGCTGTAGAGCCTCAGCTTACCTGCTAATGACAGGGAGCTTACTACCTTAAAAGCAATGCATGGCTGTCCAGAACGTTTGTTTATTAGAAAATATGTTCTGATGCTGCATTGAAACCTACTTCCTTGTAGGTTCTTACTGCGTATTTGGATTTACGTAAAAATACTATTATATAGCAAATTCTCAATTAAAAACTAATATTGATGATGATGATGGGATGATGACAATCACAGTATCTACAGATTGACCATTAACGTAGCCTAAATTCACATATTGCCTTTGGTCAGATTACTCTTCGCCACCATTAAATCCTTAGGATTTTACTCACTCATGCTAAGCCTGTCTTAGTAGTGTGGTGTGAATTTTGGGGTAAGATGTATGTTTGGGTCTCTCTGACCTAGACCATCAAATTCCTTACCTTAACCCACCATCCAACGCAGTGGTTTTCCCTTAGTCTTCACCACCACTGAATTCCATTATAACATCAAAGATGCTTCAGAGGTGTCTGGGCCTTTCGCTGGAGGCCTCGCCGCAGTGCGTAGACCCCTACGCAGAGGCAGCATGCGCCCGGCAGCATCTCCCAGATGCTCCCCTGAGCTGGGAGCTGCTCTGTTTCTGGCCTGCAGTGCAGCCATAAGACTGGTCTTCCCTGCCGGAGACCTGTAACTGAGCTCAGGGAGCCCTGGGGGCTCTGGACCCAGTGTGTGTTGGTCACCACTTACAGCTGGGAGGCATTCCAGAAACTTCAGCTCCCTTACACCTTAAGTGGGAGCAATGATAGGTCCTCTCTTCAAGGTCAACGTGAGGATGAACTGAAGCAGTGCTTCTGAAAAATACAGTCGAGAATGATTCGTTCACACTGCCTTTCCCTTTGAGTAGAATCAGTCAAGCAGTGTTAATCCAACTACAGTTTTTAACATTATACAACCCACATGTTACTCTTCTGCTCCGGGGTAGAAGCTTCGTCTGGAGCGTACCCTCGATTTGCCAAGCCTGTCAAAACAAAATAGCAAAGATTCTTGGTTCAACAAATGACAATCTCTGTTGCTTCTGACACTGGACTCTGAGATTTCTGTATGTTGCCAAACATTACTGTTCCAAGTTATATATGAGTGAGAAGGAGATGATTTAAAAAAAAAGATTATTTGAGTAGTAAGTGTACTCTTTTGAGTCATCAAAGAGATGATAAAAAACACATTAATTCTGAGATTTCAGTACTGGGAATTGTGGGACCACTAATTATTAGGTGACAAGTTGGAAACAGATGAAACACTTACACAGATTCATCTCGGGTGGTTTTCAGCCATTGTGTTGTGATGATGGGAAAACCTCAGTGGAGTATCGCTTCCACAGGGGAGTCTGTAACCCATAACCCACAATCATCATGAGCTATTTCCAAGTGTTAGAAACATCTGGAAATACCATGGTAATACTGCACATGCGGTCATTAACATTGCATGCTACTCAGTTTATCACGAAAAAATCATTAAGAAGTGAGAACCATGATCTCTATTCCTTTCATCTATTTTATCTGTAGAAGAACAGAAAAACATATTTTATAGTTTAAAATATTCTGTGTTGCCAATAACATTTGTTATAATATCTCAAAATGTTCCTTGATTTGAATTGGTTATTTATATGATTAAAAGCTTCATTAATGACAGAGCACGCTGACTAAAAGCTGCCCATACGTGTAAGATACACTATTTCCAGGAAACATACTCTACATGTGCATTGCAGTCTGAGTGTAGAAACCATACCACACACAATATCTTATTTGATTCTCATAAAATCATCATGAACTACAAGTGGAGAATTTTTTAGTCAATTTTTAATCTACTTACACTCCATTTTACAGATAAGAAAATAAAGGTTTAAAATGTTGTCCAAAAGGGTCAAATTGGACTTGACTCTAAGTCTCCAGATTCTTGGTTGTAATATTTTCTGGGCATATTTTTCAAGTATTTCCCTGTCCTTATGTGTGGTTTCATTAATAAATAATGTCAAAGGGAAAGTGAGTACTTTTCATCTCCAAAAAATAAACTTTAAATTTTTTTTCTGATACTAACCTTTCCATCTTAAGATATAGTTTTATGGATAGCGAAGAACTATACTTCTAGTGATCATTCTAGATGCCATTGAATAGCGGGAGAAAATTTAAATTTATATAGAAGACATTGAGTTCTGTTTTTTGGGGGGGAGGTCATTTTCATGCCAACAAGTTTTCTGGCTACAGAGAAAAATACAACCCATCTTCAAGCATCGTTCCTCCATCAGGCAAACTGTCCTCTGAAAGCCTCGATTGTGATGGGGTTTCTCCTGGACCATTTCATACTTAACAACCAGGGTTAATTTCACATGGCTTCCTCCATCCAGAATGTAATGGAAGTGAAAATGCCTGTTCTCACGGCTCCACGCAGCAGGTCATAGCTGCTGGAAATTCTCTACTGTAAGGACACAAGACATGGGGGGTGGGGACGCTGAAATATTTAAAATGGCCCATCAATTAAGGGCATCATAATTGATTACTTTTTATTATTTTAAAAGAAACCGTGGTATTTTGCCTGTTTGACTCTGTAATATTCACAGGAGCCCCTTGTTCTTTGCAAGAGGTTCTTGGTGACGTCTTTTGATGGGATACGGACCTAGGCAATGGGCAACTAGTAAGTGGGAAAGAAAAGATGGCATCAGGGAGTTGGGAAAGCTGCTGTGGGAACCAGGGGACTTGAGAGAGGTTGCAATTTCCTATCTTTAAGACTTTTAAGTCGCTAAAATTTTGTAAATTTTAGGCAAAATGACTGACCACCATAACCCAGGTTCTCGCTGATATTGCTGCCCTTGACCTTTTCCTTTGGTTCCATTGCCCATCCCATCTCATAATCCAACTTCTAACTCCTAGAAGCACTGAAGCCTCAGAGGGGCTGCTCTGAGATGCTAGCCGCCTCCGGACCGTATTTATCACCTTACCCGGCAGGTCGGGGAAGCCCCTCTGCAGGGCGAGGCACACCCTCCACTGTAACCCGTTCCAAACCCTCTTCCCTCCTCAAAACCCCCACAGCTCCCTTTCTGTCAGCCTTTTATCTGGGCTCTGTGTGCTTCCAACTTAGCACATAGCCATTCCAAAGGCCCTCCCGGCTCCCACCCCAGAGGCTAGACTGTGTCACCTGTATGCTTCGGAGCTGGGACCGAGGGAGATGGGCTCCCAGCCCCACCTGCACAGCGCCGACTGTGATCTGTGTCCTCCCCACACCACCACGCATTTCCTTGTTTCTCTCATTTCTTTTCCGTCCCCATCCATCAGTCTTAAAAAATGTTAGCCTTTTGTTTTGATGACTGGCTTATTATGATTTTCCTCCTTCCTCCCCGAACATTCAGTTCTTTCTTCATCCCTAGAACGTTAGCGTCTTCTTTGGGGTGAGCTCACCCAGTCACATGGTTTTAGTCATCTGCACGTTGATGACTTCCAGATCTTGTTTTCTAGGCTTTTCTGAATTTCAGGTCCTTCCAGCCAATTATTTTTTGGAATTCTCCTCGAACTTCAATGAGTAGGTCAAAGTCAACATGACTAATACAAAAGAGAAGACTTTCTCTCTCAACAACATACCCCTCGTTTTGAGAACGCTCTGGTTGAATGAGCCCACTCTGCAGCCTCTTTCCCAAGATGTCATCTTGGAAAGCATCATTAATGCCTCGCCCTTCTCCTTCCTCTCTATCCAGTCGGTCCCCTCATCCAGCCAGGTCTGCCTCCATGACACCTCTGTCCCTCCTCTTCTCTTCACCACCACTGGTCTCACTGGTCACCAAGTCCTTAGTAGCCCTGCCCGTTCCAGGTTATCTTTCACCGGACTATCAGAATACTCTTTTTCACACACCACTCTGATCCTGCCCTTTCTTTGTTTCAAGACCTTTAGGACTGCCTATCATTTCTAAGAGATAATGGAAGCTCTTTAGCAAGAGAGACAAACCTCTGATTACATCTCCAGCCTCATTGAGTTCTGCTTCTCTCACCACAGACTCCAATTTTGCCCACGTACCTGCGTCCCTGTATACATCATGCATGGGCAAGGCTGTGTGTCCTTGTACATGTTGCTAAGTCTTCCAGGAGCACCCTGAAGTCCTGGATTTGCTTGGAAAAATCTTATTCAAGTGTCCGCTTTGGATGGGAAGCCTCTTCCTCTCCCACAGGCTTTTTTGCATCATCCATTCTGGGTTTGGTCCCCTCCCTGAATACTTACAAACACCTCTTGTCCATCTCTGCTATTCTGCTAATATACTCTACTGTATATTATATATGATATTCTCTCCTTCCTGAGCACAGCAATATACCGCTTTTGTTGGTGCTGAGCTTCCTGGGATGAGCCTTTTATCTGTATATCCTCAGCTGCTAGTACTCTATGTCTGGGAGGTGATTCCTATGTGATTGTTGCATGACAGGAATAAATCAACTTATTAATCAACTACCACATAATTAAAGGATATTGACAAGAAGAAATAATAAATTACTCTAAATTAAAAATCTTTAATAGAAGTATTAATTACAAAGCATAAGCTAGGACCCAGCAGATTTCTATATGAAATACATAAAACATCTGTGACCTTCTCCTTTAGGTAGGAAGGGTACAGCTCAGGTGAGAACCAAGTAAAACAGGGTAAATAGGTTCTGGTACAACAAGAACTTTTTTTTTCCTTCCTGAAACATCATGTGCTATTATGTATCAAAGCCTTGTAAACACAGGGTACACAATGTCCAGGTGGCTGCTATTATTCTGGGGACCAAATATGGCAGAAGTGACTTGTAACCACTGGAGTTTGACCACAAGCCAAGCCATAAAGCTGTGTGCTTTCTGTCCTCACAGGTATTTGAACCAGACCCTACCAGAAGATGTATCAACAGCAGAGCATTCTCTGAACAGGGAGAAATTCGCTCTTTTGAAACAAGCCCTGAATGTAATTGGCTTCAGTCACTTGGTGAGTCATACCATAAATATTTCACTGAGAAAACCAACCTTCTACTAATGTACAAAAGTTATTCATTCAAAAACATTTACCGAGGCCCTATCATATTCCGGATATTGGTGGGAATACTCATGATTTAGCAGAGAATAAGTCTCAATCTCTGCCTTCTAGAGTTTATGTTCCCATGGGGGAGTTAGACAACACTGTGCCCAGGGTCACAGGTCCTATGAAGACAAATAGTGACCAGAGGAGGGGCATCTCTTTTCAAGAGGGTGGTCAAGGAGACCTTTTCCCAAATGAACCATGTGAGCAAACAGATTAAAGAACTGTGCATTGACCAACTCCAAAGAAAACTGGCAAATCTGAAGGAACTGTTTGCTGCCAAGAATTGCTTTGAAAAGTAACCTAATGACTTATTATGGTATCTTTCTTTGCAACGTAAAGCTTTTTTTTATTCTTAAAGAATTACCAAATACCCACAGGCATCATGAAGCGGAAAAATACAATTTAAAATATTTAAACCACTGCTCTACAATAGAAATTTTTGTACTCATGGGAATGTTCTGGATCTGTGCTTCACAATATGGTAGGTCCATGTGTGGCTAGCAGGCACTTGAAATGTGGCTCGTGTGAATAAGGAAATGAATTTTTTATTTCTTACTTTTAATTAATTTAAATTTAAGTAGCCTTGTGTGGTCAGTGGTTAATGAATCAGACAGCACAGGTCTAGTGGATAAGAGATCTGAAATGAGATAAGCCTGGAGACTCCCCACCATCCCCTCAAATTCCTCTTCCCCTTACACATTGGCTGTGCCCTCCTCATTTGGTTTGGTGTCATTTTGAATTAATGGCCAATTCCTCATTGGCAGTTAATAGGAGATTGCAGGGGTAACTTTGGTATGCCCGCAGTTTAGCCACCCAGATTTAGCCATAGATTTATATACCTTCTCTTTCTTATAGTAAGTTGATGGATTTGGGTCTTTGTTTTTATTTTTTTTTTCCCTAGCCCACATAGATACAGCTCACGGGACAGCAAGATGTGGGAATATAAATGAAATAGCTCTGGGCACTTCACCTTCACCACATTCGGAGACGGGAATTCTAGGGACCTACAATCATATGGTCTTTTGTTTTTTTCTTTCTCTCTCTCTTTCTCTAATGATCCAATCTCTATATTTTTGTCTTTTAGTGACTCCCACCCATTTGCACTTTTCTGTCCTTGCATTTGCTACTGTTGTACTTTTCTTGTTATTTTTTTCCCCTTCTTCTGTGCCTAAAATTTCTGCTTCCTTCTAGGAAACTGGGATAGAGAGATGGGAAAGGAATCATTCTACCAAAGTACCCGTTGCTTGGAAACAGGGCTTTAAAAATCCATGATTGATTCTCAAAGGCAGGGTAACCAAAATATGCTTTCCTGCTAAGGTAGCTAATAAGAGAATCTACAACCTTTTTGGTAAAAGAAATACGTGCATTTTAACAAAAGGCATGAAGGTAATTGTGTCACTGAGATGCTTTAGGGCGATGAGTATGGGGACATTTTAGTGCACTTAGGAGGGATGGATCATGCCCAGGTATGTCTGGGCTGGCGAGGCCCTCGAAGAAGACTTCTCATCAAGGCGCCTGTGCCCAGAGGGATGGTGGGGGTGGGGTGGGGGGACAGTTGCTCACTCTCCGCACACACGGGACAGCAACTCTCTGCTCACAGGGCGTAGTGTTCAGCACACGTAATTCGTAGTATGGCTAGTGGTCATACTCTGTCTCCACCGCTAAACTCTGAGATCCTTGAGGTCAGAACAGTCTTTGTGACCATGTCTCCGAAGTCCCTACCTCGCAGAGCACCACTGGGAAACCTCCTGAGGCGGGACTGGATTTATTACAAAGGGGGGAAAGCAGTTATCAGGGAGCGTGAGGAGTAAAGTGTTACTCAAACCAGCATAATTCCATAAAATTTGAAACCATAACCTGTGATTGGTGGGTCACCAAAACCATTTGTAAGTAATGCCACAATCCTAGAGTATTATACCTAAAAATTACTTGGAGACTGTCCTTGTCCGTGTCCTCATTTTAAAGATGATAGAGTTATACTTTGTGGTGAAAACTAGCAGTTCTAGAGGAGATTCATGGAGGTCCTAAGGGCTACATTACTCCACCTATGTATTTCTAAAGCAAATACGAGTTGTTCTTAGTAAATTGTCACAGGCAGCAGCTTTTTATTTCAAAATTACCGAGTAGGAGAATGAGAGTTTAAAAGATTGTGTCACTTGCCCAGTGTGGACCTCAAGCAGTGTTACTGTCGATAATCACGATACTAAATACTTGTTCTAGAGAAGTGTATTTCTCAGCTTACAGATTTTCTTGATTTTTCATTGTCGCCACAAAATGACTGTCCATAAACCAAATTTAAGGTCTAATTTCTTTCTTTATGCAGAGTTCCAGATTCTCAGATCTCTTCTTTCAGCAGACACTCTCTTATTTCCTTCTCCCTTCTGCTCAAAGATAGCTCTTGCCAACATCCATTTCTTTCTCTTTTCCTTAAGATACCTTAAAAAACAATTAGCATTTTTAAATCTAGGCATAGATGCTTTTATCGTGCCTTCCTGAATCTCCCAGCAGAAGTGAGAAGTCCGATAATCATACCATCAGTTTATCTCAGAAGGGACATAACGGGAAGATGGACATCAGAGCCCGTGGCCTCTCGGGAAGCAGCCTCGGTGGGCGGCCCCGCGTCAGCCCGGGGAGCACGCGTGCAATCTGACCGCGCTGGCGATGGCCCACCAGTCCGACCCATCAGGACACAGTGATTCCTGTTTCAGTATGAGATTTATCTGGAAACTGTCCATTTATATCAGAGCATCACTTCCTTACCCTCTTTTAAGGAGCAGAGACATTGATTTAGAGGAAACGTGCACTAACGCGATTTTGGTTTCGAGCTGGAGATGGGTAGTTCTCTTACTAGACACGCAGGATCTGAGAAGTCACAGCCCCACCAACGGGGTCCATGTCAGTTTTTTTAAGCTATTAGGTTTTTAAAGGATTTGTCTTTTCATCTTTCTTCTAAGCAACTCTATTCATTTTCTGTCTTTGTAAAACGGATAGGAAGTAGAGAATCTCTTTGTGATCCTGGCAGCGATATTACACATTGGAGACATTCGATTCACTGCTCTGACCGAGGCCAACTCTGCGTTTGTCTCTGACCTCCAGTTTCTGGAACAAGGTCAGTGGAACAGATCTCTCATTAACCTCGTGAGTGTGCAGTTTTGCGGACCTGCCGGTAGATGGAGACACAGTACAGAAAAGCCAGGGGAAGAAGCCCTTTCTTCCAGAGTAGAATTCAGAGTGGTAAAATAATATTAATAATGATAAACATAATAATAAAAGACCCGTATCCACTTTGTTCTTCTTTCTTACAAATGGTTTGGGGAATGAATAACGGTACGTACGTGATGTTCTCATGCTTCCCACATTTACAGGGTCGATTCTTAGGCACATTCTTGGGCTTATTTATGTTGTTCTAAATATTATTCCACCCCCACCCACCTCTGCCACCCAGTGTATTTTGGGGGCATGTTATTAGCCAAACATTTTAAACAATGTAATTACTTTCCTTCAAAGGTCTTGCCAAAAACCTCTCTCTCCCCTTTGAAGTTGCCTTGTTAGTCACTCCCCAATTTTTTCAAAATACCTTCAAGCCACAGATTGTCAGTGAAAGTCATATCTTCACCTCATATCAAAGTAATTTAACCAGGGGCTGGGAAAAACATCCAGGGCCGTCTCTGAGGGCAAGGAGAGAAAAGACTGGTAGTGATTTCAGGCAGAGGCCCCACCAGTCATTAGCGTTGTGATTACTAGAAGCGGTTTCTCTAGTTTGTTTTGATAATTAAAGCGGTAGTCAGTGTTCTGTTATACACCCAGTTCCTCATGGATCTATATCATAAACTTGTAAATAATAACCATAAAGTATAATGTTCTCACCATCCCAAAATATATACTAACCTTATGTTTTCAATGCTGCTTTAATTTTAGTGGCCGGATTGTTACAAGTATCAACTGATGAGCTGGTGTCTGCTCTAACAACTGATATCCAGTATTTTAAAGGTAAGTTTACTATACTCTGATGTTTACCTCTGTGCAGTTTGTGGTCTTCTCTGAGATATGGAGAGCAAATGCAACCTTCCTTTCCCCACCCCGTGTAACTGTTTCTACGAACTGAATGCCAAAGGAGAAAAGCATTATGAGCCCATCTGGTCACTTGATATGACTCTGTGTTGGAAACCCTTGAAGCTCTTGAGAGACCGTTTTGATGAACTAGTCACCTTCTCTCACTAATCAGTCATTTTAGACAAATCAAGTCATCAATCCAAGAGGACATACTCATCTAAATAATTGGACCCATTTGTGTATGCCTAGGCCACCCTCGTCAATGAGGAGCATCCCCTCCCCTCTACAGCATAAGTCAGAAGAAGAGCTGCCATTTATTGGGCACTTAGGAGCTGACGGGCACTGTGCCAAGTGCTATAAATGCTGGAATTTTAACATTCTCACCAATCGCTATGAAGTGGGCATCACTTTTTCTTTTTAACAGATGAGAAAACTTAGATTCAAGGAGACTAAGTAACTTTGCACATCAAACCACTAGCAAAGGCATGTTTGGGACTAGAATCGAATGCTGTCTGACTCCCGCCATGACTCTTCACGTTCTCTCTGTGCAGTGGGCGAGGAGAGTGGTTTTCCCACATGCACCTCGGTTGCTCCCTGGAAATTGGTGCCCTACCAACCTTCCTCTTAGTGAAAGTTTGAGGACTCACCATCCCTCTGATCTTTTTTCTCGAAATCACCACTGTCCTTACCTGTTGCTCCTCTTGAACCTACTTGCGGATGTTTAGGTACGTGGCTTATCCTTTCTGCCTCCTAGCTCTAGAGGGTTCCCTTCCATATTCTGGAACTTTATGAATCTCCCCATCATCCAGTCAGCTGTGCAAAAGTCATTTTGATGCCTTTTCCTCCTCCTTCTCCACTGAGTAGACCAGACGCAAGTCAGCTCTACTCCACAAATCGCTCTCATTCTCACTACCTTCTCTTCATTTCTGCCACCACTGCCTTAAGATGTCATTCCTTCCTAGAGCAGGGAACAACATCCTCTTTAATCTTTTATGTCCTATTGTCTCCCTTCCCCACTGCCTCAAGAATAGTCTTGCTGAATCATATTCTGCAAATGTGATTTTCATCCGTGGACTACAGCCTTTCAAAGATGCTCCCAGTTCTTTCCGAGTAAACCTCATCCCTTTAGGATAGCCCAGCACGCACGCCCTTTATTATTCGGGCCCACCTCACTTTTATACTTTATTCTGAGCCATTTTCCCACCAGGCCTTGCATCTAATTATATTGTTTCTTGAACTTCTCCAAAATCATCATATCTCATGACTTTTTAAAGAAAACTTGAACTTACCATTAATATCTAGAATTTACTATACACACATTTTTCTGCTTACACCGTCCTCGTGTCCTTACTCGCCCACTATGTTGATGACCCATCAACACCCTCAATCATGTTGACTCTGGAGACCTTAATTCTATAATGTCATAAATGGCACCTGCTTTCACGGCCACCTTGTTTGTTGATCTCGATGGCCTTGAACTTGTAGGTCTCTGAGTGTTGATCTCGATGGCCTTGAACTTGTAGGTCTCTGAGTGTTGATCTCGATGGCCTT